GGACTCAGGGATCTCCCACGCACCGGTGTCCCTCGGTACTACGCCTGAGTACGCCTCGGAGAAGGAGAAACCTTATCCAATTCCCTCACGCTCTTGCAACAGCACGAGACCACTTCGTGCTGCTGACCATCCGTGTCCCCTTTTAGTCGCCGTTTTACGACAGGCAGGGGGCATAAATTAGCCCTATTCTATGAGCCCAAGACTACAGGGCAAAAAAAATTGGTCAAGTTGTGCCTTAACCGTTTTATGTGTTCCATCCTTGTCAAAGGGAGTGCTAACCGTCTCTCCTTTCTATAGACACAGATGGCAATCACTTAAGACCAGGTGAATCGTTCGTTTGCCTATATACTTTTAATATTAAAAAAGTACGCCTGGTGTCAGTGAGGTAACCTAGGCTTATCCTCTTAAAGGTAGCTTGTAGAAATGCAGCTGTAGCCCACTGGTGTGTGTGACTGTGAGCAGCAGTAATCACTCACCATCAGGTGACTACTGGCTCGTTACTACCTTTTAATATGTACAATAAGCTTAATAGTTTTATTTTACTAATTATAAAATATTCTACTTTACTTTATCATCAGGGCCGGATTTAGGGAAGGGCAACCGGGGCTACAATAGAGACTTAGGAAAAAAAATCAAATTCAGACTATTAAACAACTTTTATTTTTAGATAGTTCTTGTTTCCGATTATATTTATATGTTCGTTAAATAATAAAATTATCTATACTTGGTTTCACAATAAATTATGTATTGGAAAACTCGACTGAAAAAAAAATGTTCATTTTATTTGGGGGCCAAGAGGCCTCCCCTCCTTTGCTGCCCCGAGGCCTCCAGACCTCTAAATCCGGCCGTGTTTATCATCACACGGGACAACTATTTGTTTGACCTACAGAAATGATTGTTTCGTATTTGGCTGTTTGTACAGGTTTATGTTTCATAAAAATAAAAGTTTTACGGAATTATTTCTACCTATTCAATAACGCTGGAACGGTCATAACGACAAAACACGCACGATGTATGCGTCATCAAAAAACACTTGTAATCCATACTATCCATACTAATATTATAAATGCGAAAGTAACCCTGTCTGAAATTAAAACTACTGAACCGATTTGAATGAATTTTCTTCCAGAGATAGTCTAGAGCCTGAGAAAGGACATAGGCTATTTTTTAATTGGAAAAATTTAAAATATATATATTTAAAAAAAAGATATTTATTTAAGGGCTTTAACGCGAGCGAAGCCGCGGGCGAAAAGCTAGTATACCGTATATGTATGTGTATGTATGTATATGAAGTTTTCACGCTTGGGTGTTTATACAGCGTGTCGTTACCACCGCGACAATAAATGAACACACATATTGAGGACAACTTTTTAAAATTGTATTAAGCATTTACATTCTTTAAACATCAATATTTACCGAGTTATTAAATTTTCCAAAACAAACAATTTTAGAACACCCTTACGTATAAAACTGTAACGTAAAGTTCATTTGTAAAGGTCACAAAGCATATGAATGGGTTGAATGAGTTTAAAACAGACAAAACATACTGTTAGAAGGAGATGCTTATAATGCGACGCTGTGGCGCGAGTTGTATAGGATGTTACAAATTTTGTTTCTTTTTTACTTAATTAGTTTGTTTGAATAATATTTTTTTTTAATTATGGATTTTGTTTAACGTTAATATTTTTTTATGATTATTGGCAAGTAGCGTTAGACGTGTGTTAATTTATTGTCGCGATGGTAACGACACGCTGTATACATTATTATGCTATTGTATTTATATCATGAAATTGGGGAAAGCTGTGCTTCTGTGATCAAACTATAAAAAAAACTAAAAAATATATTTGTCACATATCAACGGCATACAGAGTCATTTAACTAGCATTATATTTCAGTACCTGGAGGACGGTTTGTTTTTTTTTTTGGTAAATCGTGTATTTTAGAAATTACATTTAGATACAAATTACTAAGTAATAAAATATGCATAATATGTTTTGATCTTACCGATGTAATAATAAGAAAATATGAACTGGTGTTTTTCACAAAAGAAAGAACTTTAAAAAAAAAAGGGAAAAAAATAACAACATAACAAATCGACAAAAAATAAAAGATAAAGAAAGCAATGATCTGGAATCGAAAAAAAAGTAAAAAAATAAGTGTGTAAATGATCGTGATACGAACCACGGCCTTCTGTTTCGTGGCTGTTTGTTAGCGGCCGCCCGATTACCGACCGAGCTATTATAATATTTTTCATTCCCTGAAAACTGGGATAAAACGTCATTTTCCAAAAATGAAACCTAGTCAGATCGATTTTTCGCCCCCGAATCTACGCACATACTAAATTTCATGAAAATCGTCATTACATGAAAATAGTTCCGTCATATCAGTCTTTAGCTCTAAATGAGGTCATTGAGAACGACCGTAAGACACAATATAGCTACCCTGATTCATACTTACCTCTCATACTATTTATTGCGTTTATTTTCAACTTAATTTTCTGAAGTTTCGTATACTTTGCAACCATAGCCAGAGGGCGAACACTGTCTGTGTCAGAGGTCCAAATGCCACTAAAACGGGCAAACGTCGGTTTTTAAGAATGAAATATTTTATATCCGATGCACGAAGGGCAAAGGCCAGCCCGTCACGTGACTGTCACCAGGCTGTATAGCATGAACCATGATAGACAATTAAAATTTTTACAGCTCTAACAACAAATACTAAAAACAGAATAAAAAAAACTTAAGGCGGGAAATATTTTTAAAATTTTAATTTATTATAATAATAATTCCCCAAAATATTTTTTACTTCTTAAAATTGCTGGAATCGGGATTTCGACTCGATGGATTTAGAGTATTGATGGGAAAGAACGCAGGGTTTTGGCTATCGCGGCTTATTATGAAAATCCAGTCTTATTATTGTAGAGAAAAATTATCGTAATACTCTGGAATCCACTTTAGCATTACAATAAAATAGTTTTTTTTAAAGAGAATATTTCACATATAACACAATAATGTGTGTTAAAGGTTTTTCTTCCTTTTAGAAAACTATTTCGCACTAGAAAATGCATCACGAACCTAACTTTACGACGACTCGACAATTTGTAACGCCATAACCTAATTTCTTTTCACAATTCCGTTACAGTCTAGTTGTAACTCGGTGAGATTGGATGTGGTCTGAGATAAAAGCCTGTTGATATAGGTGGTTTAAATGTTACTATAGTTACTCAGTAGTCATCAATAATGTACCTACCTACTTTTGTATATTCCTAATTGTACACGCCAATTAAATTGCATCCATGAATCATAAGGAAAACCAAATTCTGATCCTTGGGTTTATTGGTATACTAGACCTATACTTGTGTGTATATACTTTATATTGAGTCATGGGCGACCTCGAAATACTCATAAATACTTTTTTAATGTAACTCTGTCGTATTTTTGTGTTAAGTGTCCACAATTTCAATATAACTGTTATTTTATGCATATTGTTTTTATTTATTGAACTTTACTGGAATTATAATGTCATTGCTCTAACACGAGTCTACTCAAAAGCGAATTGAATATTAGCACTCTGAATGCGGACATTTTTCAATTTGTGGACATAAACGAACATGATAAATATTGTTCAATATTTCATATTAACAGAAAAAAAAATAGGCAAATATACATAAAGAGAATACCTCTTTATTTATCATCATATTATCACGAGCAGGCCATATAAATCCCTACTATATACGGCGTCGAAAGCGAGAATAGATCGCTTTCGACGTCGTTATTTTTTCAGTAATCATAAAATGTATAATTTTTTACAGAATTTTATAAATAAATGCTAACTAAAACAGATTTTATAGGCACATAATTATAAAAAATATAACTATCAGCTTAGTAATCTTTCCAACGCCCGGTTTCTGAAACACTGATCATCGTAGAAGTCAACTAACCAGCCGTCAAATGAATTTTTAAATGTTATTTGAGTTGCCTGATGAGATGACAACCAACAACTAACTGGCAACGGGCCATCATAGACTTTAACATTGAATTTATTTTATTTTCAACTTTTTTTCTTTAAATAATCACGTACGTAGATTAAACATGCCTAACTACTTAAATCGTCATAATATACATATTTATACATAATAGTGGTCGCCTAGTGGTCGAAATTCGGTCATAATTAATTGTAAATTAAGACATGGTAGTGTGAATAAAAAAAAATTATTAATTTAATGTATTTTTAGAGAATATTAGTATTGCACTCCTTCTCTGCATAAACAGTATAAGTGTGGGAAATTTCATACTCCTGCGTCCGCGCAATTTTCGTAAAAAGGTCCCAAAGTTATTGCTTAACGTATTAATATATAGATTTTAGGACAAGACACATTAAATACACATTATTCCATAACGTTTTCTACACGCTTTTACTACGGGTACTAGATAACTGATAAACATACTTACTAAATACATATTTTACATATATAAACACCCAGACACTGGAAAAACACTATGGTCATCACACAATATTTTTCCAGTAGTGGGGATCGAACCCACAACCTATGGCGCAAGAGGCAGGGTCACTATCTATTAAGCCAATCGGGTCGTCAATAAATCACAGGAAAAATTTATTACGCTGAGGAGTAAGTGAAGACATCTCTAATTTTACGCTCTACTAATCTCACAAGATAAATCTGCCGGAGACTCCAAAATGATGAAGTCAACCTACAAACGCACCTGTCGCAAAACATAAACATTAAGAAGTATGGTGACTAGCTAAGAATGGGGATTAAGTTCCACTGGCTGCATTTCTTATGTCCAATTTTATTCCACGTCTCGACATCACTGTGAATGGAAGCCATTGTTTGTTTTCGCGCCAATTTAATTTTGACAGATTTCTTTAAATATACATGTTTAAAATCGTACTAGACACTGCGTAATCATCGTTAAGTTTCATGTTTGCAAATTGTGAAAATGGTGGGATTGTGGTGGATGTTTATACTTATCACAAAAATGGTATCGGCAAATGATAATGACCTGACCGCTGAAGAACCTCAAAAAGGTGGGCCACTTAATTTATGAAAGTTATTTCCGAAATTGTTTACAGTTGAAATTTATTTCTCGTACCTCGCATACATTTAACAATTTTGATTATAGCAGTTGTAATTGATAGAAAATATGAAGCTAGGATCAAGATCAGTGTAAGTTTAGAGTTGATACATTTTAGGGAAGAGTTATTTTGTTTAGAATTTCCAAATAAAGTTTTTCTTTTCAATTTGTACTATGGAAAAAATATATTTTCGGCATTCTATAAAACATGTAAATTAAGCATATTCAATTCAAACATTATAAAAGAAATATTTGAATCAATAGAAATGATAGACTCTACATCTGAGTATCTGTGGCTATGTTAACCTACTACTACTTTACGGTCGTGAACATGAAACAATGGCTGAGAAAAGAAATTTCTGTATCGTTTACAGAATTAATTGCTTTTCAACTTTCAACTTCTATTATTATATATCTTCATTATTATAAGGCAAAAGTTTCTCAGGGCTCTAGTTTAAAGTAGTTGTATTATTCTTTACTCATTTAATTTATGATAATAAAAAAATAAAGTTAAAAAAAAAACAATAAGAGTATGTATATAGAAATAGATAGACAAAATTTACAATAATGTTAAATATAAAAATACATGAAAGTTTTAAAATAGATGAGCGAGAAATTTTTCTATTTTTTCTAAAATATGTTACGAGAACCGTGATAGCTCAGTATTCGGGCGATCGTTTTTAATAAAATAAATATACTTCCTCACTCTGAGTTTCAAATCCCAATGCCGGCACTTATAAACTTAGTAATTGCCATTTTAAGTGCCGAAGGAAAACTATGACGAAACCTACATATTTTTGAAATAGTAATAAAAAGAAAAATATTTTAAAGATAATTTTGTGAAGTGCGCTAATTGGCAATCGGGGTCGCGTGATAGACTATATCCTATACAGAATAGCCCTTTGCCCAGCAGTGGGACATGTATTATATCCTAGCCTGATAGCAGGGCCAGATTTAGAGGTCCTCAAGGGCCTCGGGACAACAAAGGAGTGGAGGCTTCCCAAGTAGCAAGTAGGTGGCCCTCCCCTAAATCCGGCCCTGCCTGATAGGCTGTTACTTTATTTTTATGATCGAATAAAGGAATCAGATTTTTTTTATTTTTATATATACGTACGTGTTGTACAATGTAGTATATGTCTAACAATTAAGGAATTTTATGATACGAATATATATTATCGGGCATATTTTTTGCGCGTTTTTACACGTTCTCTCTCCCAAACAAAGCAACGCGTGTACAATGGGTACTAGACAACTGATTAAAATACTTTTCTTTTGTAAATAAATACATATCATACATAATTATATAAACACCAAGACAATAGAAAAACACTATGTTCATCAAACAATATTTTTCCAATAGGGTCCCCAACCCTCACTACACCATTCGGGTATTCATATTAATATATGTCTATTATGGTATTTTGTTGTAAATATAACATATAGCATATTTACATATATCAGAAATACAAAACTTACAAATTTGCATAGGACATACCTGCATGAATGTTTATACCATTATTACTTTTTTTTATATGAAAATTACGGCAAACGAGCCGGCGGTCCGCCTTATATTAAGCGATAACCGCCACGGATATTTGCAAGACCCGTAGGGTTGCAGATGCGTTGTTACCTTTTAATAAAGTGGGCCCCGGCAACCTCACTTACCAGACGAAAAGCAGAAGTGTATCGCTTCACGCCGTTCTTCTGTGCGTGGTACTGACCTGGAGAGACCTGCCCATGTGTGCAACGGCGATGGCTGTTGCGCGGCCCTACCACCATCATGAATAATTTAATCATATTGTAATGGTTACAATACCTATCTAATACCTTTTTTTTTAAAAGAGCAACTGTTGAGCTTCTTTCCGGATTCTACTCAACAGATACTGCTTACCGAGCCGGTGGTAACTCACGAACGTATTAATTTCTATGTAAAATTTCGACGTTTCATAAGAACGCCCAAGCTTCTATGTGAAAAGTATCACATTTATACCTACATTAATTTATTATGATAATAGAATAATTGATCGTCAATAACTATACGGATTGCTTTATCCAAAACTCACTCTCCAGTTTCCGCCCTGAAATTTATTTAGTTGAAGCAGATAGCTTCTGTAACTTTTACACTAATTTTAATTGTAAAAAATGAAAACGATAATGTTATTGGGTTTCTCTGCATTAGTCTAAATATGCAAACCAGTGGTGGCAGGACCACGCAATAGCTTCGAATTTTGTATTGGTAGACTGTGGGCAGACTCGGCCGAGGAATATCACGGCCTCACAAAAGTCCGACGTGAAGTGGAAGTATTATTCTTTTCTTTATTATTCTAGTTTTGTCGCAGGTCCGTGAGGGAGGTAACCGGGGCCCACTTTTTTAATGTTGGGAACGCATCTGCAACCCGTCAGCCGTAATCAAATTAGTTGAACGGCCTGTTCGTCTGGCAAGTTTTAACGTTAATATATGAATATTTTATTTAGTTTCAACGAATAGCACTGTCATGTTAACAATTAAAAAGAAATATAAATTACTGAAACTAATGTGAATTAAATAAAACGATTCTGAGTTTAACCTTCTTCTTCATCCTCGTTCCCTTAATGCTGAGGATCATGACCACCTACAATATATCGCCAACTAGTGCGATCATGCGATTCATGGAGCCAGATACATGCTGCCGATATACCGGTACATAGACATACCGCCCACTGCCGCCTACCATATACCTAGGTATACCAAAATAATATAATATCAAAATGTTCCAGGATCACGATTCCTCCCATTTTTCGAGATAAAGCGTTTCGATAGTAGACCAAGCGGAGGCCTAGCGCAAGGTCCCGGAGGATTGCCGCCTTTAACATCGGTACCAATTGCGGGAGAAAGGTGCTCAGCGAGGTTGGAATCTGCTTTGAACCAGCTTAAAAGCAGAAAGAGGTCTCAACCAAAGAATTTAGATATGCCTCTGGTATGCCACATCATAATATACCTGTTGTTTGCGTTTGTAAACATTTCAAACTAACCCATAATAATTTCAGCAACATGTTTTTAAACCTTCAATACCAAATTTAATGTATTTAACTGAAAAGTGAGAAACTTTCACTTTTCGTCCAGCGTTGTTATTGCTTAGCATAATAGGTCATAAGGACTTCGAGGTACACCAAGCGTACAAAAAATAAATGCAAACGATGGAGAATTATCAATCGACTCGATCGGCGGACCATCCTTACTAATATTATAAACGCGAAAGTTTGTATGTATGGATTGATGTTTGTTACTCTTTCACGCAAATACTACTGAATGGATTTTAATGAAACTTTACAATAATATAGCTTATACATCAAAGTAAGACATAGGCTATAATTTATATACATATTTTATGTATATCTGTCTTTCTGTCTGATTGTTACGCCTTCAGCCCATTCGACGCAGACGTTAGTCGCGTGCAGCAGTACTTAATTAAAAAAAAACATATAAACAAACATGTTTCGTCAAGGATCATGACAAAATTAATTAGGGTTTCATTGAAATCACTGTATCAATCCGAAATGATTAACCTTATGATTAAAAAAAATTTAAAATTTTTAACATCGCTACGATCGATACTTTATACCATACTTGGATGCCTAGCATGTATTACAGTATGGGTACTTTATAAACCAAATGAAAACTGATCATAAAATGAAATGGAGGAATAATCTATTGGCTTGACACTGGCAGAATTCTTTAAAGAGAAGCCATAAAGAAAGAAAGAAGAAGAATAATCGATAATCTAAATATTACTTACTATTCATTAATTACTAATATAATTACTAATTAATTAAGTACTTAGTTTTTCTCATGTACAATTACAGAGCCAGAGCATCGAACTCAATGGGTACAGTGTGCATCAGCAGATGCGGAGCGCGCCGGTCGATATGTACGTAACGAGAATGAGAGTCCGGCTGCCGCAGAACAGCAACTGGGTGAGGGTCGAGAGGTGCTACTTCGACCCGAGGAACGTGTCACTGGACACGATGCTACTGTTCCACGACATCACGATCAGCGGCAAAGTTGACTTGTACGGTGGCAACGAGCTAGACAGAGCGTCGAGGAGAATCCGGGGGAATTACGCGGACCGCGGCTCAGAGCCCCACCAAAGGACGAGGGGTGACGGCTGCAACATGATCCTCAGGCTACGGAAGGCCGGCATCGGTTTCCACACGACGCCGCTAAACCAGCAGCCGGGCAGGTTCAACGTGAAGACCGACTCGGAGTTTGTCGAGCCGGGGTTCATGAGCGTGTACGCGTACGGATGCGAGAAGTACATAAACAGGAACTCTATCGGAAACAAGGACAACCTGCCCCTGAAGCGGAAGAGGCGATCGGACGAGTTCACCTTCGATCCTCGGCTGGAGACCGCACACAGTGACTTTCTAGAGCAGCCCTCCGACGTGTGGAGAACCTACGAGCCGCCCAGTAGGGTCAACTACGAAAGGAGCAAGCTGTTCAGGCCCGACGACGATTTGGACGAAGTGGAGGACATTTCTAGGGAAATGGAGGACATATTCACGAAAGGGATCCGGACTCTTTTGACCACCTATATGAAAAAAGAACTGCAGCCGGCAATTAAAGACACCCTAATGAGAAATATGGGCTACGTTGTGTCGTATGGATAAGGATAAAATTTATTTAAGCGCACATAATATATAATGTGAAATTTTTTAAGCAATGTTCTAGCATAATGACTGAAATATAGCACAAAAATTTTTGGATTTATTGTTTTTTTAAAAAGTGGCGGTTTAGACGTCTCGTTATTTTTAAAGAATGTTCGTACCGTAAAATGGGGTGAATAGAATTCAAGGGGGGAATAGAAAAAAAAAAAACGAAACTTTGTACTTTGCAAGAATGCTGTCACAGCGTTCAATGAAATTACCTAAAATGTATTTTTTTATATACAGCAACATTGGTTATTTTATGGCAACAAAGTAATTAGTAGTGAAGTTGTTCCTGAATAGGAGAAATAGTGTCTCAAAGTGAACCCATAACGGTCATCGTTTTGAGCTGCTTAATACTTTTATTGCTGTTCAGTATTACAACCGAACTTGGTAATTAATTCAAATTCATTCAGAGTGTTAATTACTTTATTATTAAATAAGTGACAGATAAGCCAATTTAATTCTGATTTCTTTTATAAATGTGCCGAAAAGTTATGTTACCTATAAATTGAACTTATTCGGGGTGAAAAGACGACGCCTGGGGGGTGAATAGATTTGAGAATGGGGTAAATAGAAGCGCGTAAACGCTAAATAGAAACGCGTGAGGGGTGAATCGTAATGCGTCCGGGGTGATTAGAATTGTTATCGCTAGGGCTGTCAAACAAGATTATGCCTACTATATTTTTGTATGTAGGTATTTTGTACTAACGGTAATTTTATAAAATGTTTTTATAGTTAAAATATTTGCTTATTTGCTTCTTTCCTAAATAAAAATAATGCTTATTTTGCTTGTTCAGATAATGCCGCGAGTTTATAAGCCTGAACCTGGAAGCATGCGCTATAAAAAGTATGACAAAAATGTTCTTAAGGAAGCGGTGGAAGATTATTTGATGGGTAATGATTCGATAATTGTCCAACTGTCAATTAAAAAGTAATGAAGAAGAAAATTCAGTTGCAGAAACTGTAACAAATAATTTACCGATGGGAAAGAAGAAAATACAGATTATAGAAAATATAAATTTTTTAGAAAACACACAAAAATATTTGTGACTCTAAAAAATACAAAAAAGTATCCCCCAAAGCGCGATTATTATTCTTTTTTTTTAGGTGATTTGCTCTCAGTATGTTTGCTGTTATATATTTTTTAAATAAATCATTAGACAAACAATTTAATAATATTAAAATTATTAATAATATCTTTCCTTCCACTGTTCATGTACTCCAAAATTTTTGACATCCCTGGCATTTTTTTCTATTCACCCCGTTCTCGACTCTATTCACCCATATCACGGGTAAATAGAAAACACGCATATATTATTAATTTTTAAATAAATGACTAGGAAAATAAGTTCGTCTTTAATTGAAAACATTTTAATAATCTTTAACTCACGAGATGCAACAACTGCTATTTTTGAAATACATAGAAAACATTAAAAAAAAATCTATCGAAAACTTAAAAACGTTTCTATTCACCCCATTTTACGGTATTTAGAATAGTGTGAATCGTTGAGAAAATAAATTAATGGTTAAGTAGAATAAATTGATTTGAGTTTTGCCTATAGTCTTTATTCCCTAAATGTGGGGATAAAAAGTTTGTATGTCCGTAGTCCTGCTCGTAAGAGATATGCCAGATGCAACTGAATTTAATAATTGAAGTCACATATAAAGATCTCATCTCAATCAACTAAAAGAAAAAGCTCCACAGCTCTGTAATCCCCGTGTTTATGAGTATGCAGATGTTGGCCAATTGTGGAAAACCATCAACCGAGTATTCAGCCAGTAGAACCCAACCGTGCCCTTCACCACAAAAAAGGCAACCTTTTGCTTCTACTTCTCAGATGATTAGCTTATTCTTGCCATCTTCCATCATCGGAGAACTAGACACTACACAGGACTCCATCCTTATGTTGTTGATGATCCCCAGGATTGTACTATGGTTTGCTATCTCTCCCACAAAACGACTAACAATATACTGAAATGATTTGTCAGTCAATCACCCATCGGAATGTCTTCAAGGATTGACTGTGTTTAATACCAAATAATTCCCTCTAAATTTTTGATAGTCAAGCACTTACTACATTTTAGTAAAATTAGATTTTTCTTTAGTAGTCTTTTTATGAAAACAATGTGTATGTTATTATATCTATTTTATCACAAGGTTTCATATTAATCAATAAAGGAGGAAATTATAGTCACTGTCTGGGATCATAATTTTGGCTTTCCACAATTACAATAATTAACTTACATTATCTTACCACAGCAAAGTACATAATACATTCTTATAAATAGAGCTATCATCCATTATAAATTTCATGATAACCTGTCAACAAACTTTACTAATAAACAATAATTTAACTGAGATTTTATTCACCTTTGTATATAATATTCTTATAACATACAGCAATAAATAAGACATATAAGCAAACAAATAACAACTACATACAAGCAATAACACTATTTAGTTACACTAAGACTTTAAACTTAATATAAAATACTTAATTTCATCATAAACTGCAAAATGTAATGCTGAAACAAGAACTGCTTTTAGTACACTTGGCCCATATCCTTTATATAAAGCTAAGAACCCTTCATTGTACATGGTAAGCCTTATACAATCAAATAATCCATTACAGTATAATTGCTTTCCAAAACTTTTCCTGTGCTGCTGAAAGCCCTGTAACTGAAGTCTTTTCTTAAAAACATCAAATGGATAGATTGCAGTCTTGGATATGACACCCGCAATACCACCAGCTAATAAGTTTGCCAACAATGTTGACTCTACAACTTCTAAGCTATTATATCTCTGAAAGAACTTAATTCTATTTAATATACTTTCTGTGAGTAATTTGTACACAGCAAATTGTATGCCAGCATGTGGTGCTATTTGAGCCAATGTTGGTATTAGTCCCTTGAACAATGCTTTGCTACTTTCAGTCTTGACAATTACAAAAGCAGCATCTAAAAAACCCTTGTACACTTTCTGTGTTTTATGTTCTGCAATTAGTCTTGTTCTTATTGTATCAAAAGGGAAGGAGGCAATAGTTGCAACCGTGGCGGCTATGGCGCCGTTAGTGAAATTTAACCAATGCCTATGTTCTAGATAGAATTTTGGATCAGATTTGTTGCATAATATGGACAGTTTTTCAAATGTTGCAAACTGTATGACTCCATACGAAATTGATAGAAGTTGTGCGGGAATGTGCCCACTCCAAAGAGTCTTGATGCCTTCTTCTCTAATAATTGAAGTAAATGCTTGGATAATTGAACTGTATTTAGATCCAATCTGAATGGGTTCAAGTTGTAGCTGAAACCTTATCTTTAAAACGTCAAGTGGTTGCGCTATTGCTCTTGTAACTGCACCAGCTGCTCCTCCGGCAAATGCTGTTTCAAGAAATGTCGCTTGACGATCCTCATTTTGTACAAACCGCATATTATCGTATAACCTCTAAATAATGTTTGGGAGCCTGCAGGAGGGAATAATTAAGATGCAGTACAAAGAACAAGCCGTGTTGAGAAAAACATAATCTTTTATTGTCACTCATTGCTATATAAATTTGTCAATAATAGGGTAATGCTAGACCGATGAGAGTAAGGGTGTAAAAGATAAGAGCGGTGCTACACAGTAGCAAATGAGTCGCCACATCACCCCCCTACGGAGAAAATAAGTACACATTGAAGGCAAAACAAGTATAAAATGTAACAATCTAATAATTATACACTGTTATTATAAAAGTACAAGCAACATTATTTAGGATAATTTTTAACTAATGGAATTTTAATTTATACAACGAAAAAATAAACATTGGAAACTTAAAATTGAAAAAACTCTGCTTTAACAAAAATAAAGTATTAAAAACTAGTACTTATAAATCTAAAATATCTTTAAATTTAACTTTGCGACCTGACCAGGTTGTTACAGGCTGTGCGGGCGTTTTAATGGGCACGGCCGTTTGGCTAATAGGAGGTGAGAGTCGGAAGGACTGGGGGCTCCGGTGCCAAGTTGTTAGGGGACGGATTGCCGTCTGGGTCAGGTGCAATATACGCAGGTTTTGTTCTGTCGATGCTAACCTCAGATCTTCGGCCAGAAATGTCTAAGGTAAGTGTCTTTTCAGATCTCTTCAACACTCTGTAGGGGCCTGTATAAGGTGGCTGTAAAGGGCGTCGAACAGAATCTTCGCGGAGGAACACGTGAGTAGCATCAGGTATGTCCTTGAAAACGAAAGTTTTAGAATTCGTGTGACGTGATGCTGGAACGGGGCGAAGGTCTGCCATCCGTTTTCGCAACTGTGCAACAAAATCATCGTCCACGGTCTGAGGGGAATTGCTAGCCACCAGGATCTCGCCTGGTAGGCGTAGCGGTTCCCCATACAAAACTTCTGCAGCTGACGTTTTGATGTCATTTTTTAGTGCCGCCCTGATTCCGAGAAGAACGAAAGGTAGGGCATGGTACCAAGAACTCTTGTGACACATTAAAGCGGCCTTTAAATGGCGGTGGATACGCTCTATCATCCCATTAGCTTGGGGATGATAGCTCGTAGTACGAACGCGTTTTGTGGCTACTAAATCCATCAGTCTGTTGAAAAGTTGGGACTCAAATTGACGTCCCTGGTCCGTTGTGACAGTGATCGGTACACCAAAGCGAGCGATCCAGCCATGGGTGAATTGATCAGCAACTTCTACTGCGGTTATCGACGACATGGGCCAAACTTCGGGCCAGCGTGAGAAACGGTCTACTGCTGTTAGGCAATAAGTGAATCCGTTTGAAGAAGGCATCGGTCCAATAATGTCCAGGTGAACATGACGGAATCTGCCTGAAGGTGTGCTAATGTTGCCAAGCGGTGAAACGACATGGCGCGTTACCTTGCTGCTCTGGCAGGCGAGACACTCGCGTGCCCAGGAGCGGCAGTCTTTAGCAATGCCTGTCCAAACATAGCGGTCGCTAATGAGGCGCGCGGAAGCGCGTGCGCCGGGGTGGCTGAGACCATGTAGGCGATCGAAGACGGCTCGCCGATATTGTTTTGGCAAAAACGGTCTAGGTTTGCCTGTTGACACATCACACATAACGGAAATATTGGATCCAGGTATGAGGGTTGGCTCTAACTGTAAAGAAGAATGGACCTTTACGGTTTTAAGTTCGTCGTCCGTCTGCTGAGCTTTTGCCAGGGCTGCGAAATTGTCATCGAGCGTGATAGCCTCAATGCGGGACATTGTGTCAGCAACGACGTTGTCTTCCCCCTTCACATGTTTGATATCAGTTGTAAACTGGGAAATAAACGTAAGTTGGTTAAGTTGAGCAGGGGGCAATTTTTCACGGCGTTGGACGAAAGCATAAAGAAGCGGCTTGTGGTCCGTGTAGATTGTCGCGTGTTGTGCCTCTAGTATATGCCGGAAATGCTGTAGGGCCGCGTACACTGCGAGAAGTTCGCGGTAATACGCGGGCCATGTACTTTGGCTCTGTGTTAGCTTTTTGCTAAAGAATGCCAACGGTTGCCAGCCTTGATCAGACCTTTGCTGTAAGGCAGCGCCGACATGAGTGCTGGAGGCGTCCGTGTACAACCCTAAACGAGCATTTCGTTGCGGATTTACAAGCATGGTGGCCTCTGAGAGACTGTCGCGACACTCGTAGAAAGCACGCTCCAAGTCTGCTGTCCAGGGCATAGCTTTTGAAACTTTTAGGTTGCTGACTGTTAAAAAATCCACAAGTGGAGCTTGGAGCTTGGCGGCTTTGGGAAGAAATTGGCGGTAATAATTTACCATCCCCAGGAAGCGTCTCAAACCTTGAGCTGTTTTGGGAAGCGATAACTCGCGGAGAGCAGCGATCTTCTCTTCAGGTGGGCAGATACCATCCTTGGTTATCTTATAACCTAGGAAGATTACCTCACATGTCCCCAATACGCACTTATCCACATTGACAACGACGCCATAGTCCACCAGTCTTTGCAGGATTATGCGCAGGTGTTTGGCGTGCTCTTCAGCATCCCGTGAGAATACCAAAATATCGTCAATGTAGGGAAAAGCGAAGTCTAGTCCGCGCAAGATCTCATCGATGAAACGCTGGAAGGTTTGGCCAGCGTTGCGTAACCCAAATGACATATAGGGAAACTCGAAAAGACCAAATGGCGTTATTATGGCCGTTTTGCAAACATCTGGACCAGCTACCGGAATCTGCTGGTAGGCCTTTACTAGATCTAATGTGCTAAATATAGTAGAACCAGCCAGATTATGACTGAAGTCTCCTATATGACGCACAGGGTACCGATCGGGAACTGTCCGAGCGTTTAAGAGCCTGTAGTCACCGCAAGGACGCCACATAGGTCAGCTGTAGGTGGGCGCGTCACTTCCGGAAAGTCTAAAAAGAGTTGACTGAACAGGGAATCGCGAGACGGTTTTTTTACGGTCCTAATACTTGGCTGCATTATATTGCGGTTACAACAATATGCGGATAAGTTTGTAAGCTCATCGCGCAGTGTGCCGCTACGGCAGTCGGGTAGGAGGTGGAAGAAAGCTAGGAAATCCGAACCGATAATTGGGACATCCACGTCAGCACAAATAAACTCCCAGCGAAATTCACGGCGCAGTCCTAAATTGAGGTTCAGATCAACTGTGCCGTAAGTTTTAATGGAGCTGCCATTTGCCGCATTGAGAGTAAGTCTTGTATTTGAGAAACGTCCTTTTATAAGTTTTCGTGGAGAACAACAAAAATGTCCGAACCGGTATCTATCAAAAAATTAATTTTGGTATTTTGATCGGTAATAAAAAGGCGTTTGCTGGACTGTGCGCGGTCGGTACTTGCCACGTCCGACCGCTCCCTTAGTTCAAAGGTTTGGTAGCTCCTTCAATGGTCCAGCTGCATCCTGGTATGCATTTGCTTGCTTTGTTGCCGAAACGATCGTGGTACCAGCAAAGCTTCTGATTACGTGGGCGTGAGCGATCGAGAGCGGCTCCGCTTTTGATTAACGCGTGAGCTCCCAGATCGTTCATGGGTGTTTGTTCTGAGCGCTGAGACTGTTCGCATCAATTCCTCGATCTGCCGCTGCATTGACGCGAGAGTGGGCTCAAAGGTATGATGCGCCGAAACCTGGCTCACGGTGGTAGGCCTCTCGGTCAACTCCACCAACTGGTCGGCCATCTCCGCCAACTCCGTCAAGTCCTGGTCAAGAATCTTCTGTGCGGCCAACACAATTTGAACCTGCCGGGGAAGCCGATTGGCCCAAATTGATCGCAGCAGGTCAGCGGGGAACGATTGCCCTGCCAGACTCTTCAAGTGTCGCATGAACGAAGATGGCTTGCGGTCACCTAACTGTTCCTTTTCTAGTAAGCGCCGCACCTTCTCCTCGAATCTAGATATGATTGCGCTTTTTAAAGTTGTGTATGGTTGCAACTCGGGAGGATGTGTGATATATCTTCGACCTCCTTCGTACACTCGGTATCTAAATGCGCCACGGCGAAATGAAACTTCGTCATTTCGACGGTAATTTGGTTAATGTGGAACTGCGCCTCTAGGCTAGCAAACCACAATGCGGGCCGTTCTTTGCTAAATGGCGGGGTCCTAATTGCGACCCTGTTTACGTAAATGGGACTGCCACCGACTAGTGCAGTAGCATCACCCTCGTTGCCAACGTGGCCCTCTGAAACGTTAGATTCTCCTTGATTCGCCATGGTTTAAAGGTAAAATCAGAAACGGTCAAATCGCAAAACCCGCTTTACACATACACAACAGTGAAACAAATCGGTAAATCACACAAACGAAACTACGCTGGTTTCAGTATTGCGCAGCACTAACGTATAACTTTTTGTACTAAATTTTTACCGCATTCATCATCATCATCATCATAGTCAGCCCGTATCAGCCCACTGCTGGGCATAGGCCTCCTCCCTCTGGCGCCATTCTTCCCTGTCTTGAGCGTACCGCATCCATGTTTTTTCTGCGATCGCTTTGATATCGTCGACCCATCGGGCAGGCGGTCTGCCGACACCACGCCTTCCTACTCGAGGTGTCCATTCGGTTAACGTTTTACTCCACCTGCTATCACCATGTCTAGCAATGTGCCCTGCCTAGCGCCATTTGAGCCGCATTATCCGTTCACCTACGTCACAGACCTTCGTCCTACGACGGATTTCGGTATTGCGGATGCGATCTCTTAACTTGATGCCCAGCATGGAACGCTCCACATAGCTCGCTGTGCGACTCGCATTCTGTGCACTGTATCTTTTGTGAGCTTCCATGTCTTTATCGTTTAATCAAGAAAATTCTTATTTTTAGGTTTTATCACGACAGCAAACAATATACTAGATTTTTAGAATTTTCTCGTTCTCTTTTGGTAGAATTCAGTAGTTTTTAACCTCGATAAGCAGTAGATTCGTCAAATGAAATCTGGTCACGCTGCCTGTCAATGTTATGTCATATTCATAATTTCATAGACATAATTGATTATTATTATTATTTATAAAACAGATTTTGTATTACCTATACAATATCAACGATGTCATCGCCACTTGAAAACTTAGAAACACAATTAGAGATGTTTATAGAGAATGTACGCCAAATACGAATTATAGTCAGCGATTTTCAACCACAAGGACAAAGTGTATTAAATCAAAAAATGTAAGTTATTAAAATTTTGCATTAGTAAAAGGTTTCTGCGTACGTTTTACACATATTTCGGCTAGTGACGTATATCTATACTATAAGCTAGGATGTAATCGGGAGCTTGATAGCCTGTGACTTAGTTCGCTCAAGGGCGAAGGGGCTGCTATTCCCGCTGCTCCAAAGATAAAGCAGAATTACTGGTTCTTACTTCCCTACTCTTTACTCGCTAGAAAATAGTAACACTACATACTTTTAATGTTTAAAATTTAAGAAAAAAAATGACAACTCCGACTGAAACTAAACGGGGGGGAATACCTTACCCCCTTCGCGACCCTAAGCAGGAAATATGTATAAAAGTATATAGTATGTATAATATGTATAAAGTACCACATTATTATTAAGTTGTATAAAATTAAAAGCTTTTATTAGTATAAGCGGATTATAAATATTTCTCTTTTAAAATTATAAAAAAATATACTATGCATTTCCAATGAATATCCGCCTTTTTGGAGACTTCCTATACCTCCCCCTCACAGCCCCCTACTACATGTACATATAAGTAACATAAGTAACCTTCCAAATATATAAAATAAAGTAAATTTGATAGTCAATTTAATTTTATAATTAACCATTTTCAGACAATCACTGGTTACTGGACTTCAAGAAGTAGATAAGTTGAAATCTCAGGTTCACGACATTCATGTTCCAACAGAAGTTTTTGAGTAAGTATTTATACTGACAAGCAAAATTGACTTGCTCAGAATATAGTTAAATAATCAAGTCTTTTTTCTCTTGTTTTAGCTACATTGATCAAGGTAGAAACCCCCAGCTCTACACTAAAGACTGCATTGATAAAGCTTTAGCAAAGAATGAAGAAGTCAAAGGAAAAATTGATTCATATAAGCGGTTCAAAAGTCATCTGCTTTCAGAGTTGTCCAAAACCTTTCCTAATGAGATAGCCAAGTATAAGGCAATAAGGGGTGGCGAATAAATATAGTTTCATAGATTGATTCTCACTTTAGAATTTATTTAATATTATTTAAGATATAGAAATAGGACTATTTAACATAAGACTTTAATGAGAACTATCCGCAAAAGTAAGTTTATAACATCTCCTTTGTCCTAATAATGTCCAAATGGATATTTCAATTGGGAATTCAAATTATAACTTCAGGTTGTAACATATAAAATTACATCTTAATTTATTGCATCTCTTATCTATCTCATAAAAACATTTACTCACAAATAAAGTAATGCTATTTTAAATAATTTTTGGTTTTAATTATTGTGGTCTGACATGAAGTAAAAACAATGATAAAAAAAGATTAAAATTTATTTTCTAACATTTTTGCATAAGAAATACAATTTAATTCAAAATAATGAAAGGTGACTTAAAAATACAAATAAAAATAAAAAAGTTTAGACAAGCAAACATTAGAAGCGAAAATATTGAATGATTAAAGAAAAATGAAGAAACACTTTTCTTCTAAAAAGTAGTTTCATTTACTGAAATTGATATCGAAAATAAAATAGCACAGTGAAAATATATGAAAAATACAGGTTAAAGTCACCTGCTCATATTTTATTTATTTTACCATATAGATCTATTTAAAATTTTAGTCTTAAATTATTTGATTATTTGAAAAAATTTCATAAAGGTCTAGACCATATAAAATATTAGTTAAAACATTGTGATTATTTGGCATGTTTAAATTATAAAACATTTGTAAATAATTTCATTTGTTTCATAAAATATTATCTAAGAATTATTAATTACAAAATTAGATTCGTATTTTCATCTGGTGTCAGCTCTCTATCAATTATAGTCTGGGTATCCATGACCGTCTCAAAATCCCCACTGTCATCTGTGTTTTCATCTGGATTTTTGATCTCTACAGTTTCAGTGTCACTATCATATACAATAGATTTTGTGATGTTGCCACACTGTATATTGCTACTGAATTCATCCCACATTTTGTAAAACTCTCTTTTCACTGGTTCAACCAATTGCAGCTTGCTGGTGATGTACACATAGTTCCAGTGGTCGCATGAACGGTCATTACCCCAATTCAGTGTGCCAGTCATGAGAATCCTGTCATCGACTAAACAAAACTTGTGTTGCATTGTGAACACTGGTTCATTCGTTTTGCATTTAATTTCCGCCCCTGAAATCCAAAGGAGAAACACATTATAGACATCCGAAAACTGCCCTACTCATCCCTGCCGGCTTTTCTTTTAGGAGTTATCAATTTGCAAACCTTACACACTTATTTTTGTATATACCACGTGAAATGTTGAAAAATGTTATGGGTAGAAGTTTACGTCTGCGATCATTTTTCTCCTATCAAATACCTTTTCCTTACCCTCCTTTCTCTGTATATATTCGGCAACACTTAAAATTGGCCATTTCGATCAGCGACTGCCGTAACCGTTAAAAATTTTTGCATGCATTAAATGGGATGAACATAGGTGATGGTATGTGATGATGTGTGGTAGTAGGGCCAAGCAACAGTGTTCGCTGTTGCACGAATGGGCAGGGCCGTCCGGGTTAGTACCACGACCTCACAGAAGACCGGCGTTAAGTAGAAGTGTTTCACTTCTGCGTTTCGTCTGGTGAGTGAGATAGCCGGCGCCCACATTATTAAGAGGTGGCAACGCATCTGTAACCCTACGGGCGTTGCAAATGTCCATGGCGGGCAGGCGGTTATCACTTAACAACATGTGAATCGCCAGCTCATTTGCCGCTTTATCACATAAAAAATGAAATGTTACATGATTACCGCCGGCTCCAGTTACTTTACTCACTAGATGTTTATATATTTTCTAATAAAAAATATAAACTTCCATTTGACGCTGATTTTCTGTGAGACCGCGGTACTTCTCCGTACTAGCCCAAAGTAAAATAACAGCCTATATATTATGTCTCACTGCTGTGCAAAGGCCTCCTACGTGTACCGAAAACATGCAGCTTTCGTCACGAAGTTTTCCTTCACCGCAGAGCATGTGATAACTCAGCACTTATAATCATCATTATTATTGATGTTCGCACCGGGGTTTAAATTCCGATTGCTTGAGTAAATTGAATTAAAAGCGAGCGCCCCGACACTGAGCTATAACAGCTAGTACCGTATCAGCCTGATTTTTTTTATATTATTTGTGTAACATCAGAAGCTTATCGGCAGGATCAGCAGTGATCCACACAGTATCCTCCACTGTATAGCTGCAATTAATCAGGAAACTGCATTATGCGGATCCCGATTTATGTTCTATGTCTTCTATATAAAGAGAAATTAATTGAATTTTATGTACCAACCAGCTTCGATAAGTTCCTTTATAAAAAATTCCGTTGACTCATTATAACCAGATCGATCAATAATTATCCGAGCTTTGATGTTTTTCTTCTTTATCAATTGCACTAAACGGCCTTGAATCGCTGGGTTATGAATTCCAGGCATGCACACATTAACGCTTTTCTTAGCGGCATCAATGAAACTAATGAGTTTGTCAAAATAATTATAGACGTTGTATTGTAATTTACAAAATACCATCACTTCATTGATCTCCGTGTTGCGACTTTTATAAAAATATGCAGCGGCAGACACAATGCATGTTAATGCGATAGCCCCAATCGAGGACAGGACACGTGGATTTAATCTCATTTTATGTAACTTGAAACATAAATGGAACAATTTTGCACTAACTGAGACCGGTCTATAATTTTATGCTAATATATAAAATACAGAGGTCTTATTTGTAATTTTGCCATCACATGGTGAGGTGAATGATATTAGTTTTACAACTACCCTCATGTTTTACATCAATGAATCCAATTAATGCTTTTTAAATTGAAATGGTTAAAATAACCTTAAGCTAATAAGCATACACATAAAGTAAAACGACGTAAACCAAAATGAAAAGATACTGAAAATTGCAAGTCCGTTCTGCATATAAATCTGTTCGACCAAACGTCCGTTCCATAACAAAAAAAAAAAAACATTTGTGCCAATGGCTGTAGAAAAAGTAAAGCACGTGGTAGATGCGAATAAAGCAAGTGTTTATAGGGGTTGGCTAATGCAGCTCGTCACCTTTGGCATATTCGGGCAAAATCAAATAAAACTCAACGATAGATAAGTCCACATTATGCATATGGATGCTTAGTGAGTAGGGGTTTTTAAGAGCTTTCTATAACTTGTCCCGCCGTAACAATTTCCTGATGAAATAGGGTAAATCGTTGCTCAAAGCTGACGTTGGGAGTATATAGGTCTGGGAAGGGTAAGGGGGTTTGATAATGTCGAAGAATACATTAAGGAAAAGGATGTGTGGAAATGAGTCTGTTCTACACTTGCAAGTCCCCTGGCTGCTTCTGATTTTATACTAAAATAATTATGTATACTTAGGTAATAATAATAAAATAAGACTGCAGAGTTTTTTGCCGGTTCTTCTTTGTTTAGACCTAGTTTGGTGAACCACTGGTAGATTTTTGGCGTTCAATAAGAGCTTAAAATAAGCCTATATTGAATAAACAAATTTTGACTGGCTATGATCCTTAGCCAGTGAGCATTGACAAGATCCGCAAGAACTGCACAGGAGTCCGGGTTTATGGAGATTCCAAAAATCTATCCATGAGCCATAAAGGGAACTTGGTCCCCGAATTATACCTAGACATGATAACCTTTTTAAATCGCATACGTCGTGTTGGTTTACTAGCAGGTCTGCATACTATCGGTTTACCCGTAGGAATTTCATTACGAACTACTAACTCCTATCACTTGGGTCGTGCCCCTCCCTGTTAGTAGAATCGTTTATCTTTCTTTAATAGGGGTCGCGGAGCGGAAAAGCAGTTGAGCAGATGGCGTTATCATGTCGTTATCCTGCACCAGCTACGTCATAAACTCTTTGGCTATGTCTGTCAAAGCCACCGGGATACCAGTAAAATTTTGTTGATTGTTGTTGTTGTCCGTATTTGTTATACGGACAACAACAACAATCAACAAAACCGTGATACATGTGCGTCTCAATTGGAATGTTGTTTAGTTTCACTCTGGGCGCAGTATCACATCTGTATTAAATACTATCTTTGACTGTCTTCAAACCAGTGACGCCAACTTAGGGCTTTTAGCCCCAAATTTAGGGCGCAAATATGCATGATGGGCTTTCTTTAGGGTCCAAAAAAGTTTAGGGGTATGAATAATATTTCGTGCATAGAGATGCAAGAAATATTATTCATGCAAAATAGTTATTTTGACTGACTAAAATGAGTAAAAAAAAGCAAAATGTACAAAAATTAATGTAATTAATGAAATTTTAGTTCATATTATGTTGTTGTTAGTTATTTCAACTATTTTTAATGAAAAGTAATAATAATTAAGTTATATTTATCTACCATAAAAAAGGTGATAGGGATTTTGGGGCTTTAGAAAATTGCGTTTTTTTAGGGGTATTTATGGCTGATTCATTTTAGGGCCATTTTTTAAATTAGTTTCAGTGATGTGACGAGTTGGATTTTTTTTGACTCGAGTTACTCGAGTTGATTTGGCTACTGACTCGAATCGCAACTCGAGTTGACTCGCATCGAAGTCTCAAGTAGGGACATAGGGAGTGGGGGGGGGGGGGACGACGACTCGGCGAACTTGGAGAGCACGAGTCAGCTCGACTCGAGGCTAATTAGATAGGAAGTAATAATGATGTTGAACTTGAATCGTGTGGTTATGTGGCTACTCGAGTCGATTAGCAACTTCGTTTGTGGTCTGAACTAATCCTCTCCTTTTTGTAGACACCTCGAACAGTGTCCGAAGGTTGGGATTTCAAAGGCAAAATTTACAATCAATTGGCACTAGTGTGCATTTTATTTCCTAAATCAATCAACAAAGGTGTATATTATTCCAGCCCAGATCTCAACATCGTGTTTAATACGACAAAAAATACCGCCATCTATCGCCTCAAAGTCGTACTTATAAAATGTAATTGTACATAGTCGATTGCTTATCGAAAATGAAGTTAAATAAAGTTTCTGTTTTTATAGCAAAGAATTCCCACGCCACACTTCTGTTATTTGACGTCGTTACAAACAAAACAAAACAGATCACTAACAAATCAAAAATATCATTTCGCACGCGGATCGCCAACTGCCAACTAATAAAATCAAATAACAAAATGTCAACCAAAAAAACAATATAAACTTTTAAAGCGGTTTTTCATTTGCGCAATTTCGTTTCCGATCCTAGCCGAATGAGCCCGACTCAACCCGAGTTCTATTCGAGTTGATGCGAGTAAGATGATGCAACACCTTACGAACGGCGCGCGCGCGTGAAACGTAACTTTACATTTCACTCAACTCGAGTTGATGCGAGTTGATGCGAGTTACAACGCCTAACGAACCGCGCGCGCGAGCCGCGTGTGTAACTCGGAACAACTCGTGAGGCCGCCGCGTATAACGTTCAGACGACCGAGTTGATTCGAGTTGCTTAAAACTGAACTCGGGTTGACTCGTTTAGGGTTTGACTCGAGTTACTCGAGTCAAATAACTCGAGTCGCACACCGCTAATTAGTTTGCAGCACTGCTTCAAACAAATGTTGCCCTACCAAACGCAATGGCGCGAATTGTGACATTGACAATTGTGAATTTGAGTTTGTGTACTTTTATTCAAATTATTGAAACTTTTGCAAATAAATTTCTATATAAATATGAATTAAAGATTTAATACCAAATAGTTTGGATACTTGTGTATAATAATGGGTATTACAGGACTGATTCCATTTCTTGAAAAAGCGTCGAGAAGAGCAAATGTTAGTGAATTTAATGGATGTACTGTTGCGATTGATTCGTATTGTTGGCTGCATAAAGGCGCTTTTGCTTGTGCTGATAAATTAGTCCAAGGAGTTGAAACGGATGTGTAAGTTTTTACTTTTAAAACATTACCACCTAATTTATAACTACAGGTATAACAAAGAAATGGTTAGTTTCAAAGAAATGTTTTTATTCAATTTCTAGGTGTTGTTATGAAATCTTTAACATTATTTAATAGATTATAGATTCATCTAAGAATTACTAAAATTAACTATCTTAATTATATTAGAATATAATTTAATTTAAATGTTTTAGGTATGTAAAGTACTGCATAAAGTATGTAACTATGTTGCTTTCAAAAAATATCAAACCAATATTGGTCTTTGATGGACGTCATCTTCCTGCTAAGGCAATGACAGAATCTAAAAGAAGAGAGTAAGTTTAAGCTATTGTTCTTATCCAGTAATGTTTAAAGCTCCACTCTCTAATTTTGTACCTGTTAATTAACAGATAATTTGATTATAAACCTGCAAAAATACCTAAATTAATTCACAGATCAAGGCAGGTGTCTAAGAAGAGGGCAGCTGAATTATTAAGCTTAGGAAAGGTATTTTGTCACTTATGCATTTTGAATGACTTCATTTTTATTATCAAAAATTTTTGCTATAGACTGCCTTTTATAGATTGCTTTAATATATTACAAAAATTTGAGTCTACTACTATCTTAGATTCATATTAAAGAAGACTTACCTGTAATTGGAACATAATATAGCTTGTTTTTATAAGATATGATTGCAAATGACCGAGTACTTCACCTGGTTGTAAGTGATTATTGCTCCACATTGAAATCTAAAACACCAGTAGGATTTAGATTTTGCAGCCCACCTTGAAGAAGGGGGCCAATCAGTTCCCTCACCTTCACTAAGTTAACTCTCAGGTCTATGGTTCTTTTCTCTCACATCTACATTACTCTAATAGTATTGAAGTAGAGTAACATACTTCATTGTAATACACACACTCTGCAATGCAACACAAATACACCATGCTTTTACCAAATGCCTTCACATTCATTGAATTAAATAAAAATTTTCCTGGCTTTATTTTCTACTGAGTTAAATGTGTATCTCAGATTGGATGAGGCACGTTCCTACATGCGTCGCAGTGTGGACGTGACCCACGAGATGGCGCTTGCGCTCATCAAAGAGTGCAGGAGCCGCAATGTGGACTGCATCGTAGCACCCTACGAGGCCGACGCACAGCTTGCCTACCTCAATATAAAAAATGTCGCCCAGCTAGTGATTACTGAGGACTCAGATTTGATATTGTTTGGCTGTACAAAGGTACATACATTTTTAATTACAATAAAATTTTACGATGGAATCATAATTTCAATAATACATACAAATCTAACATTGTAGGGCCATGCGACAGTCACAAGTACCATAATTTCACAGAAGACCAGTGTGATGTGGCAGTATTATGCTTCTGCATTGTTTTTTTTACAAAATTGTTCAATAAATTAAATATTATGTTAAAAAAACACCTGTAATACATTATGCACATAACAACATATAATATGTAGCAGTAACATTATTTAACATAAGAAACTAAACCTATGAGTAAAATCTGCTATGTAATTAATGAAAACATCAATGTCACTATCACTAGAATGGTCCCATAGACTGGAGTTGCAGGCATGTGGCCTGTCCATCTGCGAGCCACTGGGTTGTATCCCCATTGATCCGGCGATTCTCGGGCTAGAAATGGCCAGCCGGTTGTTGGCTAAAGCTGGGCCCAACGGCAGCAGCGGCTTATGTGGGCTGAGGTGGTTCTTCGACCAGCGACATGGTCCTCTGGTGTTAGTGAGAAGTGTGTTCTGCGGCATATGGCGGGCTCCTCGTAGCCTCTTCACGGCCGCAGGAGTTCTCGTGGTAGCGTATGTCCGTCGGGAGGACGGGCGAGGCGCGTTTACACACAGAGCGAGGTTTTACTGCGCCTACCTATGCTGTAACCAAGGGCTGATCCAGGGGTGAGAGCGGTCATGGGGGTCATGACCCCCCTCTGGGCTGGGTCCAGGACCTAAGTGGATCACTTAAAATTTTTAAACAATTTTTTATATATGTTTTGCCACAATATAGATTTTATGTAAGTACCTTTAATATTTAATTAATTTAATATAATATATTTCACCGACTTCGAAAGGAGGAGTTTCTCAAATTCGATTGGTATATATTTTTTTGATGTATGTACACCGATTACGTTGCGTTTGGGTACATTTGAATCGTATTGACGAGTAGTTTGTCTTTCATTAGTAACCAGGATCTGATGATGGAGCTCCATCTTCAGCCGTCCATGGACATATGCATAGGGTTGCATATGCGTTTCCTCCCTATAATAATGTGGCCCCGGCTACCTCACTCACCAGAAAAGACGCAGAATTCTTTACGCCGATCTTCTATGTCTATGAGGCTATTCTGTGAGATTCCTATGACCACTCTGTAATGCAGTGATTCTCAACCTTTTTTTTTGTTGCGGCACATATTAAACGATTTCAAAATTTGGCGGCACACAAAGAAAAAGATAAAAATTATTTACTTACTACAACACACTGCATAAATAGTTTATGACAAAAATTTTAAATATACGAAATAAACTAATATATACTACAATAATAACTAAACATTTATTAAGGGATTAATTACAATTACATAATAAAAATATTTTTAATGCGAAATTTGAGCTTGATGTTTTTTGATAATTTCATTTATATTTGGTCGTAAAAATGACAATGCTACTCTCATATCGTCTTCTACATTTAACAATCTTGATCTTTTTTTAGTTTTAATGTTGGCTAATGCCAATAAATATTTTTCTTTTTAAATGATATAATTTAATAATATTAACATTATTATATATTTGCAAAATTTGGCGGCACACTTTTGAAATTTGGCGGCACACAAAAGTGCCGCGGCACAGTGGTTGAGAATCACTGCTGTAATGAAACGACTCAACCAGATCGAGTTTCGGCTCGTTTTATTCGTCATCGTAAAATATTTTTGAAACAAACTAATTAAATAAAAAATAAACAAAATTTGTAACATCCTATACAACTACAACTGACTGATTCATACATTCAGATACTTTTTCATTCGTTGCCACAGCGTACCATTACAAATCTCTCTTTCTAACAGTATGTTTTGTCTCTTTTAAATTCATTCAACCCATTCATATGCTTTGTGAACTTTACAAATGAACTTTACGTTACAGTTTTATACGTAAGGGTGTTCTAAAATTGTTTGTTTTGGAAAATGTAATAACTCGGTAAATATTGATGTTTAAAGAATGTAAATGTTTAATACAATTTTAAAAAGTTATCCTCTATATGTGTGTTCATTTATTGTCGCGGTGGTAACGACACGCTGTATATGACGAAGCTATGCCCGAATATACATAAAAAAATATGAACATCCGAATTGATAATCTCCTTTTTGAGTTCGGTTAAAATACCTACTTTTTACTTTATCTATGATTATTCAATTAAATTATAACTTCTTATCACTTGACCACGACTATGTGACCCTCCCTGGCACCAAAGCTGGATCCGCCCTTGGCTGTAACCGGCTTCTCTGCTTGGCAGATAGCAGCCCGTACTACGTTGGGTTTTATTTATTGTACAATTTCGTAAAAAACATTATGTTTCATTGATTTCTGATAAATGTGTACATGGAAATCGTCGTTTTAATCGTATCTCCGAAGGGTCACCACATGTTAATGGATAAAATATCTGAATAACGATTTTTCAAACCGCAAACTGAAACAAAGGGAAAGTTACGAAACCTTTTCTGTTTCTTTCCATACTAAAAAAACGTATTTTTTTTTCTCGCAAAATATAAGTCGGGGCGAAAATTTTTCGTGACATTTAGTGTTGGTCTTAATAAATAGAATTCGACGTTATTTTTAGTTTATGGAACGAAAATATTTTGATTTTAAAATCTGCTATGTCAGGCGCCTTGTATGGAGACGACACTGTGCGCCGGTCCGGTTTCATTATCATACAAAAAAAAACATATTATTCACACAAATATATCAACTATTGATCTTCGTCTCCTTTGGTTGTTCACTGCTGGACGTAGACCTCTCCCGTTAAAAATCATAAAACTGGACATTGAAAGGCTCACTCTATTGAAAGGTGGCGATGCATTTTTAACCCTATGGATGTTGTTGTATGTGTTAAATTTCTCATGCTTTTATTATATTATACCTTTCAGGTTCTTTTCAAAATGGACCTGGACGGGATAGGAACTTTAGTGGACACGGCGAAGTTGCCTCTGGTGATGAAGTGTGCTATTGAAAATTATACATTCGACAAGTTCAGACAGATGTGTATCATGTCCGGTTGTGACTATTTGTCTTCGTTACCAGGCATTGGTTTGGCGAAGGCCAGGCAGTTTGTTGTTGCGACGCAGGACTCGAATTTTGCTAATGTGAGTTGTTAGTAGCCCTCTGCTGTGGCCCAAATATCCTCGGTTTTTCTTAGCTCGTTGCCTGACCGGATAGCTAAAGGTACAGGCAGCCTTGTGTTAATTCTATGTAAATGTATTAAAAAAATATTTTTTTTATAGTTAGCAGTTAAGTAACTGCTATATTTTCAAAAGGTTGGCAACGTATCTGCAACCTTCGGGTGTAGCAGATGTCTATGGGCGGCAGTATTCACTTAACATCAGGTCAACAATCGTCTGCTTGCTTGACAACTTTTCACATAAAAAAATTATGGGCAAGCGGGCAGGCAGTTTATCTGATGCTAAGGGATTACAGCCATCCATGGACACGGACAAATATTTTATATCTTTGCGGCCAATTCATAGATTTTTTAAAGTTTTTAATGCAATATGGATTGGAGATAATTTCAAAACATAATTATGATATAAGATATAAATTACATTATGGTATTTTTCTATGATACTTTTAATATTAAGTGCTTATATGATATATAATTTTTTAAGCTATGCAAGCAGGTAAATGCTGTCAATAAATGAAGTTATTAAGTACTTCATAAAAAGTTAAGTGATTTATAATTTTTGCTAATATTTTTTAGGCTTTACGGAAACTACCTAGTTTTTTCAATAGATCCAATCTTATAGTAACAGATGAATACAGGGAAAGTTTTCTTAAAGCGGAAGCAACCTTTAAACATCAGTATGTCTACGACCCTTTAGAGAGGCGAATGGTGCGGTTGACAGAACCTGATGATGAAGGTAATCTAGTTTCTAATAATAGAAAACACATAAATATTAAAAAAAACATAAATATCCATGTAAAAAAGGAATGGAACAACCTGCCGGGGTCGGTCTTCCCGTCCGTTTATAACGTAGCGTCTTCAAGGCAAGAGTGAATAGGCTTTTACTGAGCTAGTGCTTACCATCAGGTGGGATGGCAGTCAAGCGCTAGTAGTTCTATAAAAAAAATAACTTACACCAATTATTCTCGCCTTCATTTAATTACTGCGTTAGCATTTTAAGAAAAAAAAATATGCCGCGATGAAACTTTCTTTGTCATAATATTTAATAAAAATTAATATACTAAACGAGATTTAAAATCACTTACTTTCTCATACATATTATACTCTTACTTCACTTAAGTACACATTTATTTACTCGTACATAATTGCAATTTTCAGCCAGCTTCTAAGTACCATTTCATACATTTCATACTATATAAAACGTGTGACTGATTGCAAATTTTTTTTTAAATCACAAAGTCAATAATTTTTGTATCAATTTCAGATATCGAAAAAGCGTTGTGCGTGAACGCCGGTGAGCTGTTAGACCCTAAAGTTGCTTACCAATTGGCGCTGGGCAATTTGGATCCCTTTACTTTGAGGAAAATGGACGACTGGGACCCCGACAATCGCATCAACGGGGTTTGAATGTTCATCCTTCTTAAAAATAGCGATAAATATTAACTTCTTAATTTTACTGCTGTATAAAAGCACAAAGTATATTATTTGCAGAAGTACTGTATTGTTTTTATTTAAAGTTATAGTATGTGAAAATATGTTAACGATATAACGCAACTTTGTTAATATAAAATTATGTTCATCATTACACATTAGGCGGTATGCTTAATTCGCCCAGAATGCTCTATTATCAATTTTAACATTTTTTTGGTTTATACATTACCAAGTACAGTTGCGTGGAAATATCTAATTAACGGTTCATAAAACTACTCTAATACGTAAAAAACGACTCCGTTCGCAACTGTACGCAACATAAAACTACCATTTTGACACCATTGTGAATAGATTTACAAAAGACTTCAAAAGGACTTTGCTTAATTTACAAAAAACCAATTCCTAAATTTTCTTTCATGCACAGGCATGTACCATGAAAACTAACGGTTGGAATGAGAAAAGTTCAAACCATCCCAGCATATGGAATGCGGACTTCAAGCAGTATCTCGATGAACCAGCGCCGTGGGTGAAGAGGGTTAAGAAAATCGAGCCTATTATAGCCGTTCCTAAGACTAGAGCGATAAAGAAGATCGTGAATCTAGTCAGTAAACATGTTCCAGAGACGCAGGACGAGAGGTACGTACATTTAAAACATAATATATAGCGCATTGGGTGCATCAATGTTTTTTTTTTACAATATTTCTTTTTTATAGTAGAAGTTCTGTTTTGTTTTTTAATCTACATAAATTTATTGAGCCTTGAAAATAAATTGTATCGACGAAATTAAATTTAAAATTAATTAGTCTACGGAGTGATTTAAACCCACGGTGGTAGTTTGAAAGAAGTGAAACATTCTAATTGTAGCCCTATAAACTTATAAATTCATGTCTAACTTTTATCTTTGATGAACTTTTCATAAGAAAGTAAGCATGATAAAAACTATTTATAGTTTATTTTATAGTAGTAGTATTTTTTTTTACTTTCAGTTTGACAATAGAGTCATTGAGCAGTATGTACTGTGTTGAGCCAGCCGCCAAGAAACAGCGAGTAAACGTACTAACAGAGAGTGAGACGTTTACTCAAAGCCAGACTGCCCATAACGTTGCTCTTACCGAGGAGGATATACTGAATGAGCTTTCAGAGAAAGAGAAGTCTCCCGTTCTGGAAAACAAAGAGAGATCCTTCAGGAAATGCCTCAAAAGCGGCAGCTTCGCGGTCCTGAAACGGCTGAGCAGATTTCCCAGAACCATTCTAGACGATAACATAATCGAAAGTAAGTTCTTCAGTGCGTGTGCCTCCAGCGATAGTTCCGAGAGCCATACAAATTCCGAAGGCTCTAAACGTAACGTTACGATTGCGGAATCCCCAGATAGAGAAAGCGCCAACCCGTTCAGAGTCAACGCTTCGGACGTATTCAACAATGCACTGGAGATAGATACGCAGTGCTCAGAGATTCCAGATACACCGTTGAGTAATTCGCAGAAGGAAAACTCTCCTATGAACAGTCCGATTAAATGCAAGAGAAGCCCTATTTTGGAGCCGAGTCCTAAGAATAGAAATCCCTTTAAAGCGAGACTCGGGAGCCAATCGACGTATTCATCATTGAGTCAAGAATCTGTTATAGATAACACTTACCCGATGGAGACTTTGATCACACCCGTTGATTCACAGGTACAGTTATTTGAACATTAAAAAACTAGCCGACGGATCAACTTGATATCTGTTCACAACGAAGCTATTGAACAGAGGATTCGTTTTATATGCTTTCTATTCCGAACATCGAAGAAAAACGAAAAATACATTGTTCATAATATTTGGAAAACAATTTCAGGCTTCCTTCGGCGAGTCGCCTCCGAAATTAATTTCATCACAACCACTGCTAGCTAAATTTTACAACAGTAATGATAATAGAAACGGTTTAAAGAAACCTCATTGCAAAGCACCAGGGCTAAAGAAGCCTACATCACTACCAAGTAATCAGCCCACCCTGTTAAGCAAGTTTGGTTTCCAGAAAAAGTAAGTATAATATAGAATCTATTCATGTATTTGTTTGCATAACATAAAATATGTTACAATAACATGAAAAATGGAAAAATTGGTTGTTATCAGTACAATATTAGTAGAAAATATATACCGAAATATTAATATTATAAAGAAAACACTTTGTATAATATGTTGTTACAAAAGGAAAAAACTTTTTTTGTTTTTTAATCCAGTGCTAGTAATTTTGAATAATATTAAGCAGATGTATGTAAACAGTTAAAAATTATTGATTATTAGTACAGACATTTGTAAACTTATACATTAATTCTTACTTCTATATGGATCTAAAACAGATCTTTAAATAAATAGTCATAATTATCTGTCATCATTAAATCTCACCTTCAAGTGTACTAGTGTATTCAATGTTTCATAAATTGTTCGTCGTTTCAAAAACCGTAAACGTTTCAAAATCCTGCGTCAGATGAAGCTTTAATAGTTTCGGGACTGAAAGCAAAAACATCAGTTAATACAAGATACAAGTTTCAAAATCGTAAATAGACATGGTTATTATCTTTTTCATTTATTAAGCAAAAGTAAAGTAACATTAACTCTATATATGTACCACTGCTGGGCAAACACCTCATCTGTACAGAGGGTATTAGGGCATAGTCCATCACGGACCTCACTTTTTTGGCGGATTTAGCATATTTTCGAAATATTCCTTTTATTATTATTTAGAAAATGTGCAGGTTTCCTCACGATGCTTTCAGAAGCACTTGAGATAAGCCGGGGATTGAACTCAGGTTAATAAGTATACAATTTTATAACTTGAATGACTTTTAAGGTTTATTGTTTGGTTATGAAAGTTATCACTCAATATTTTAACTTTTTTTTAAACAGTTTTTCTATTTTTCTAGACCAGTTTTAAAGAAGTGAAGATGTTGATTCATCATCATGAAGAATAGACCTCACTGAAGATTGCGCCTGTTTACTTATAATTATGTGAATTGGACAATGTTAAATGAACTATGTATATATACTTGTACAAAGTAGACGGTAGGTTTATTCTTAATTATGACATTTATATTTACAGCGGAGAGTTTTAAGCATCATGAATCTTCCTTGGCAGTTGTTTTAAGTTATGTCTAGATAGGTAGATTTTAAAAGTAACCGTATCTGTGAAACTGATCCAATTGAACGAATCAAGTTTAACGTTTTTTCACAAGAGCCAAATGAGTAATTTTATTTAAATTTCAATATAAATTGTTTGTATAAAGATGAATGAATAAATGAATATTCTCTACTGCACACTAAAGTATAATAAACAAGAACCAAAAACTTTATGTATGAATGACGGGTACAATGGGTGGACTTATTACTAAAAGTAATTTCTTTGAGGCAACCTTTGAAGATGTCCATTGAAAAGGTCATCTTAGAATAGAATATACAGCGTGTCGTTACCACCGCGACAATAAATGAACACACGTCTAACGCTACTTGCCAATAATCATAAAAACGTTAAAAAAATCCATAATTAAAAAAAAATCAAACAGACTAATTAAGTAAAAAAGAAACAAAATTTGTAACATCCTATACCACTAAAACTGACTTATTCATACATTCAGAGACTTTCATTAGTTGCCACAGCGTGGCATTACAAGCCTCTCCTTCTAACAGTATGTTTTGTCTCTTTTAAATTCATTCAACCCATTCATATGCTTTGTGACCTTTACAAATGAACTTTACACGTTACAGTTTTATACGTAAGATTGTTCTAAAATTCTTTGTGTTGGAAAATTTAATAACTCGGTAAATATTGATGTTTAAAGAATGTAAATGTTTGATACAATTTTAAAAAGTTATCCTCTATATGTGTGTTCATTTATTATCGCGATTGTAAAGACACGCTGTATATGGAGTTGTATCACCCTTGACTTTATTCCCCGTGTATGTGGTATGGACAGTCCGCATGTTCGCTTATTTAACATTAATGATATGTAACTTTAATGTCTTTTGCCGCGTTTGGCTTAGGGGTGAAAACTTTGGGATCAGCGTGGGTTCGCATCTTTGTTTCTAGTACTATTATATTATTAAGTATATTACAATATTATTCAGTGAGTCGATTTGGGAAAAAATAGTAATGGTACCATAAAACTATTTTACGCACTTCAGTCGGTTTATTTTGCTATTAAATTCCTGAATATGAACGCTGCATAAACGCAATAAATAACTCGTGTTCGTAACTCGTCGGGAATTCATTAATTTGAAATTTTTAATAGACTTTTTAAGTGAATCCCTGAAAAAATAAGAAAAAAACCTAAATTATAGCTAAGAACCAACTAGATCACATCGTCAGCTTTCAAACAAAAAAAAAAACGCTCCACAATCGGCCCATTCGTTTATAAGCTATGTTGCCCTAGGAAACAGACACGTCTCAAACTTCCATCCGTCGTTCTACGACGAGGGTTAAAAACAAAAGCACAAAAATGGTTTTATTTAATCATTTATTGTATTACTCGAATTTAATAGAAGACATTTTGAATTAGTTGAAAATAATATAATTAAAATATTGCCATAGTTAACCTTAAACTTTCTGTTTCAACGGTAACTGGTTCTAAAATGGGACATGACACGCCGATAAATGAAAAATATTTCTGATATTTCTTCTATTATCGCACAAATATGAATAAAGAACAACAATGTTTACTATACAAGGAAGAAATTTTCATTTTAGTTTTAAATGCCAAACCGTGTAAAATGTTGACGACATGTTTTAACCAGAGGCGTTGTGTGATTTTTTAATTTCTTGATGTATAATTGAAATGTTATGTGATATTTTAGAATTATGATTTAATTTTGTTTATAATACAAGTGTTTTATGAAAAGATTACCTGAAAATGATAATAAACGATGTATTTTGTTAGCCGCACGGTTTTTATTTAAAAAGTGTGTGTACTTACGTACACACGTAAGAAATTATGCTTCTTTAGCGTAAAGACGTGAAATGCGATGGATGGATGATGTGAGGCTGGTTCGTAAAAATTTTATACCGAAAGAAGTATAATTTCAAAAGACACAAGTGTTTTTATAAGGTTAGTCATCTACGCCACTAATTTAAATTTTTGTAATTTCTTTCTATTGAATATGTAAATGATTGGTATTTTTATTATTATTATTGTTATATTACATTGTTATTATTATTCATATAAAAAAAGAAGTAAGGTAACAGCGTATAAATGTCCCACTGCTGGGCAAAGGCCTCCTCTGTGCAGAGGTAGTATCAGGACAGTCCACCACGCGGCCCCACTGCGGATTGGCGGACTTCACATATTTTCGAATTTTGTTATTATTTCCAAAATATGCAGGTTTCCTCACGATGTTTTCCTTCACCGCCGAGCACGTGATAATTCAGCACGTGAAATTAACAATTTCACTGGTGCTGGCACTGGGGATCGAACTCAGGTTGCTCGAGTAAATTAAATTAAAGGCGAACGCCCGGACACTGGGCTATCACGGCTCTTTTTATTCGTGTACCGGGTAAAATACAATTTGTATGCTGATATTTCTACGTAGGTATAAGGGGACGGGAAAGACGGTTGCACCTTGACATTTTAAGGCTAGCCTAGCCTAGGCTTGAACCTCGTCTATGAGTGATTAAGCTCGAGGCCTCTATAACTCTATTATTATTACCGGTTTGTGAGGTCGCAAAGCTTTTAGGTCGCTTTGGCGGACGCTCCATGGAGTATTTAGGCTCAAGGGCCCTCGAGAGGGGACCTCTGCTTGGGTTGTTACTCAATACCCGTTTAGCATTCCGATTCGGGGGTGCCCAAGAGGTCCGGACCTCGTCTCGGAAAATTGAAATTGAAACATTGAGAGGAAAAAAGAAGAAATGGCGGTAAAATAAATGAACAACTTAAAAGAAATGTCATAGTTCAAGTATAATTACAGTAAAGTATTTTTATTAGAATTCCAGGTAGAATGATAGACATCAATATTTACACAGTTTTATGTGTAAATATTGATGCCAAATACCAAAGTACCTATTATGCTTTCGCAAGTAAAAAGTACTCCGTGGCGTTATAGTATCACGTAACTCAAAAATGTGCCTAAGGTATTTTTTATCTGGAGCAATTAGAGCGCGGATAAATTGCTGAGATATTTTAATCCTCCTTATATATTACTACCTTAATTTGTAGAGTGATTAAGGTATACGCTGGATATACTTTAATTTATGCTCCACTTCCGTGTTGTAATTTTACCAAGAAAATTTCAATTTTTTTTCTTCTTTAATGAATTTGTTTTTATTTCGCAATATATGCCGGGAACTGAGTAAATCAATAAACTGATGCTGAGTGAAAACTATCGCTTATTCTTTTTTTTTTTAACTTTGCCCTTACTTTAGGATAACGTTATTCTGTGTTGTAGGGACGTTTTACAAACAAACTTCACGTGGACAAACACCCAGATGCGAAACAACTATCTGTGGGTCGCACAAATAGTGGTCTCGTGTGGGAATCCAAACCACGACCCCCGGCGCCGAAGCCAATACCTTGGCAACTGCACCATAGAGTCAGTTATTGACATTCACAATTTTTATTGGATCGTTCTCTGTTGGCTTTTGGGAGGCCTTTATACACCAGGCTTGAGGTTGCTGGGAGCCTAGCCTATTTCGTCGAACTCGCCAGACAAAGTACAAAAGTGTAAATACTTGCACTCATGGGCGTCCCCGCTTTGGTGGCGTTTGGGGTTCAACCTCGAAGTATATAAAATATTACAATAAAATTTATGTTTATTTTAAATTACATTGTCAATTTCCCGAATTTCATTCAGGAAATTTAATGAAAAATTATTTGCACTCTCTTTTAATGATAGTATTTCTTTGTTAGGAAACAACAACTTTCAATTAAGCTTAATTATTACTTATTAATTAATTACTTCTAATGTATGCAAGTGCCGCGTCGTAGTTTTCACATTGACTTCTAGATTAGATACGGTAACCATATTTTTATTGTACCATAGCAGGTGACACCTGGTTCTTCCCGTGCATTAAATTATTAATTACTTGGCGTCCCTGAGCGTCCGTGAAGATCTTTATTAAGTGGTACAATTCGTTAGGCGGCAAAATGTAGGCAGATTAATGGCTTCGTTTACTTAAAATGATAATTGCGGGGATGTTGGTGAATAATGTTGGTTTTAGACCGTTTGCGTGTTTTAATTCTTGTACTTTGTTCCGTCGGAAAGAGTTGCGAAATTTAAATTAACTAAGCTCTGTTATGCCGCAATCTTAAATCTAGATGGGTCCCTCAGATATATCGAGGGTACAACCCGTGTCATTGCAGTTAAGTATTTTATACATAACTGACTGGCATAGGTATACCATTGTTGATAAATATAATTTTATATAAATAAAACGAACCTCACTATTTATTATATTGTCGATGAGAAAGTTACTTTTGTACGAATCGTCAACATAGATTTAAACATCAAATAATATCTCTTTATTTATTTCTATTGAAGGGTTTTTTTTAATTTTTAATAGTATTGATTTTTTTTATTAATTTAATTTTACAAATATTCCTATACAATAAGAAGGATTCTTTTTTAAAATAATGAAAAAGTTAAAGGATAATGCATGGCTCAACTTTAAAAAAATATGTTTAAAGAACAAGCATCCTTTAGATTTAACATTCTAGTAACTCTTTCGTACAACTGTAGACTAGCAGCCTTTTGAATTTCTGTGCAGTCTTGGAAATCTTTATTAAATGCTATAATTCATTTAACCGTAAAATAGGCTTAAAAGTTATGAGGTCATTTATTATAAATAATAATTTACAGTTGTGTAACAGCTAGGGTTGTTTCATGTCATTGGTAGGGCTAGAATTACATTATTTTTTATTATTAATTAGATTTTGACAATTTGATTTACTGCCTAT